AAAATCTAATTTGGTGTAGTAGTGTCATGAGTGCACTGTTGCAGATATTACTTCATACATAGAAAATATATAGTATAATCTTGACAAGTTTTTAAACTATTTTTAACATAATCCTTCTAAAGAAAACAATTAAAAAGGTTTACTTCATCATATGTGATCTATTAAACACAAAGAACATCTAAGCAAAATCAAATTTTCAAACAGCAACAATTGTTAATTCAGTTTCTTTCTCTTTTCCTCCATAATAATGATCCTTGCAACCTAGCAAGGATCATTATTATGGAGGAAAATGCCTTTTAAAGCATTCGCTTTGCTGACCAATGATATATTCTTTCTGGCTTGTTCTACACCTAAGACAAACTCTTTTTCTAGCATCAATGAAGTTTTTGTAAGGAGACCCATTTAAGATTTTAGCTCTTCAGTTTCAGACAAAATAATGGTTTTCTGACCTAGCATCACATATTTCTATTTCTTTGGCTTCTCTTACTCAAGCATGAGTATGTATTTTTGATGTGTAAATTTAAAAGCATTTCTGATGTAATCTGAAGAGTGAGGGGGTTGAGGTTGATGGTAAGCATGAAATCACACACAAGGCATTGCCCAACAATACCATCTGTTGATATATTGTCGGTAACAACATCCTTGTTGACATTAAACCCTATTCAACCGACGTCTGTCCACGACTCAGAGTCAGAACCAACTTAATGACAGACAACAACTCCGGATACTTTTTTATGTCAATGTCTCTGAAGTAAAAATCATCGAAGCGTTTATTCTTTTGATCATAGCTAATGAAAACATTGCAAATTCTGCTGACATAAACTTCGAGAACTGGTTGATAACTTTGTCCGAATAAGTAGTTAAAATTTCAAGTAAGATAAGATGATGCAGCAATTTGACTAAAATTTATTTTTTTAGGTGTGATTTGATCATAAAAATTTGTCAGCAAACAACTACTTGTATTAAAACCACAGAATCAAGCAAACACCTTTTAAATAACTTTTCAGCAGCTGAAATCAAAATATGCATGCATTGAATTTTATATTTTTCAATATCCTTCAAATTAAATGCATCATTCTTTCTGAGTATTGATAGTTTTGAGCAAGTCTCATAAGTTTCAGATTTAACATCCTAAGAATACTTTTAACCAACTGCACATATCACCATTCATGAGGTAACTTTGAAGAATCAGTCTGAGAGAGCTTCAAAAACAATTCAAATATGCTTGACAAGAAGCTAAAGAACTGGAATCTTACAAGGGAAAGTTCCTTTTTAACAACATTTACAACAAACTTATGATTTTCCAGATAACAGTTTTTTGACAAAGCCTCCCAATAAATTACAATTTTTGTAATAGAAAGCCAAAAATTAATTAATCTTTCTGTTACCTTTTTGTCTTTAACACATCAGGTTGCGCAAAATGAAAGCGGAAACCTTCTGTGATACTGATAAAGTCACTTCTTCTGGCAGGAGAACTGTAATATAAGATAAAGCAGCTTTTGAATGCCTTTTAAATTTCCCAATCAGTTGATTCTACTCTTGTTTTGAAAGCAACGTGAATTAAGTGTCGAGAGCAGCAACCTATGTCAATAAGTTTAGATGGTTAGTGTTCGTCACATTTGCTTTGAACATCTCTGTGAAATTTTAAGCTGGTACTGGGTCCATTCATAGAGACCTGAATAACCTTGCTGATAATAAGATCACTTCTCGTTTCATTAAAAAGATTTAGCAAATCAAGTCTGGTTCTATGTCCCATGAATGAGAAATCCCAATACCTCACTTTAACTTTTTTTCTTCATTCCAATATCGAATGAGTAAATTTTATTAGACAAGTTTAAGTTTTTTTGTTAAGGGATTCATAGAAGGACACAACAAGCCAAGGAGACAGGCTTAGTCATTGTATAAGTAAAGCTTTGAAATGAGGTCCAAGACCATGAGTGATGCTATATCCAACTTTATTTGGTCCCATTTAAAAAGATTTATTAATCTCACTGTCAGGAAACATACCTTGGAACAAATTAGTGGCATCTTTGTTTGAATTTTTACAAATTTTATTTAAGTAACAATGCAATGCCCACATAACTTCTGCATAAATTTTATCAGAACTTGATACAATGAATTCTAATGATTGTAGCTTTATAATGTGTTGAGAAACTAGCAACTAACTTTAAATTAGACTCTTCCACTGAAATAGATGAATTATTTTTAGCAGCAGATGATTTAAAGAAAAAACAAGAGAAACTGCTTGCAACTGAAATATACTTTTTTCCTTTTTTGTGACTTTTTAGTGCTTGAATGCCCATGTCCAAAAGTTCAATTATTTTATGGCCTGGGCATTATCTTTCCCTTTCATTAGCCTGGGCATTATCTTTCCCTTTCATTAGCCAAGAATCAAAATGAGAGTAATTCCCTTTGTTTAACCTTGCTTCTTTGAAATAAGCCTTTTTTTTTTAATTATAGAATTAGTTTTAAATTATCTAAATTGATCATAAGAAAAAAAATAAACATATAAATAGTTTTCTTTTGTAAGTTAAAAAAAAAAGGACATTATTGTAATAATAATATAACAACCATAGATAATTTGATTAAAAATTGAAAAAATCGTTTGTAACTAACAAAGTATTTTGCTACTTGATTCAAAAGCATATAAACACATTAGAAAATATCAAGGTTGTTTATTCAAAATGTAGTTCAATAAAGAGTTAAAATGTAATTAAAAGTTTTGGTTTCTTAAGTTTACTTGTTTATTTTGTTCTCTTTCTTTAAGAATTTTTTGTTTAGTTTGCTGTTGTTTTCTTTTAAGTTTTTGCTTAGGTTTTCAGCGCAATTTTATTACGATTTTTAAAAAATTTTAAAAGCTGTGTTCAAATTGCGTGGTCATATAATGGCAGGCGATCACACGCCTTTCTATGAAACATTGTAAGGTATTTTTTTAATTGTTAAAATAAATTAATGGGTAGCACCAACAAAAACAAAACAAAAACAAAACAAAAAAAATCATTATCAAGGTAAAAGCTTTAGATTATCTGGAAAGCGAATTGAAAAGTTGATTATTTGTGTTAGAGATTGAGAAAGGCAAAAAAGGTTGTGGGCCTTTAAGCCTGCAGAGTCACTGACACTAGAGTCACTGAGCCAAGCCATTTAGTGTGATGAGTATTGTCACCAACAACAACGATATTGGGTGAGGAATAAAGAGAAAGGGCTCGGTCAATTTGATCAGAAATAATATTGAAAAGAGTGAAGTCTTAAGATGAAAAAGAAAATTGAACAAAGAGAAAGGAGTACTAAATAAAAGCAATGAATGCTAAGAGAACAGTTTGTGAATTCAAACCTAGTTTCTCAACAATTGGGTGAGTTCTTACAAATGTAAATGCCCAGGCCATGCATGTGACTATTATAATCTTTGTAAATTAAAGAAAGATAACCATCACCACTGAGATCATGAAATTAGACAACTGAACTCAAATTAGTCTCACAAAGAGCAAGTAGGTCTGGTGAACTTTGCAAGAGATAAGACTAATCAGTAAAAAGAATTACTTCGAAGACCATGAATATTAGTGAATAATAGACTCAAAGAACTTGTTCATGACGATGGTTTTTTTGTGTTTTATAGTTTTTGGTACTTTAATAATTTTTGGATTTGTTAACTTAACTCAAAGCAAAGATAGTATACAGTACACTATTTAATAATCCAAACAATTACCTAATTATTATTAATAAACTTTAAGCCATAACAAAGGGCTCGAAAATGCACACTAAAAGTAGAAACAGGAACACCATCCATGTGCAAAACGTCACTGTTAGTACACTGAAACTTTAGAGCTGTTGATGAAATCAGCCTCTGTGAGAGATATTACAGAGTTCAGGAAACATGACTACCAGCCGGCCTCAGAACCATAAAACTGAGTTTTAAAGCTGTACCCTTATTAGGAGGTAATAGAATAAGTTGCCTAGTCATAAAAACAGAGACACAAGTAAAACCTAAGCAATGAGTCGAGAAGATCCAGTAATTAACATTCTAAACTGGAAACAATGTATTATAAATACATCTATGCCAGCCTAATAGATGAAAAAGGGGTGTGAAGCTGGTCAACAGATAGAATTTATTAATCCCTGAAGTCATTGTCTTGGAGTATTTGTATTTATTGTCTGCCCAAGATGAGTATTTTTATCTCTAGATTTTACTCAACTAAGAGCCCCAAGTCAGGGGGGTGTTTTAAGTCAGAGTTGGCTTCTCCAAGCCTTTGCCTAAAAAGCATAGTCCACAAGGCAACAGGACATGAAGCAGGTTGTAGTGGGTTACATGTTACCAGTACCAGGATAGCCTGACCTGACAAAAATATTAAAATATTAATTATTAAATGCATACAAATATGCAAAGAACTTTGAAAAGCTGTGTATGAAAATGACTTCATGTTGTTTCTTGAAAAAACACAACATGAAGTTGAGGCAACTGTAACAACCAATCTCTATTTGTTTATTGATAACTAACACTCACTATGTTAGTAAACTTTATAAATGTACATACATAACATAACCATTTTTATTTTGTAAAAGAAAATTTTTAAGTATGCAAAATTTAATTTTTCACATCAAAAACCCATTAAAATGAATAACTTTTTTATATTAGCCAGAAAAAGCTAAAAATAAAGATTTCTGTTTCAAGATTTGAAAATCTTCTCTAGATTTTTTCCGAAAAATTTTGTAATAATTAACCCCACCCTAAAAAGTATTGAAAAATAATAGCATAAGAAAACAAACTGATACTATAATAAAATATTATTTATTAAATCAACAAAATATATATATATATATATATATATATATATATATATATATATATATATACATATATATATATATATATATATATATACATATATATATATATATATAAATATATATATATATATGTATATGTATATATATATATATATATATATATATATATATATATATATATATATATATATATATATATATATTTATATAATAGAAACCTGTGAGTAAAGTGATAGGAAACATGACATCACCAATTCCTTGAACATCAATCCAAAACTCATAATCTCGGTTTCTGTTGATTTCTTTTTTATTTGGAAGTACAGCAATTCCACTTACTAAAATTATAAATTGATATTAATATATTAATATATATATATATATATATATATATATATATATATATATATATATATATATATATATACATATATATATATATATATAGAGAGAGAGAGAGAGAGAAAGAGAGAGAGACTTGCATGATTGTCAAAAAGTTTTTCCCATAAACTGTAGTTTTGAAGAGAGCGCTAATAAACCATACCAGAAAAAATTTAAAAAACTTAATTTTTTTTTCTTAAATGATTGACTGCATCCTCAAAGCAAACCCTCAGTCAATGTAGCAGCACTCTGTTGCAAGTCAGACTATAAGATAGCCGAAGTAGCAACACTCCGTTGCGAGTCAGGCTATAAGATAGTCAATGTAGCAACACTTCACACATGTTTTAAAAATGTATTTAAATAAAACAAAAACAAAAACACCACTAATTAAAAAAACTTTCTAGTCATTATTATTGCGTTTTTATTAAAACGATAAAATTTAATGTACTTTCGCATTAATTTAACTGTTTTGATATTTTGACGACAATAAAATGTAGCTTAATTGTCGAGGTAGCGAAATTGCAGTCGAAAGAGACTTTTTTTTTACATTAAAAGGCTCTTTCGACTACGAGATAAGAATGTATATCAAATAAAATTTTATATATATAAAATATCAAGTATTTGTTATATATTTCAAATATTTACTTGATTTTATATACATATATATATATATATATATATATGATGTCAATATTACAGATAGAACTGTCTGATTTATTATTAGATAATATTCATCTTAAAAATTCTTTAAAGTATTTAAAGTAATGTAGTGTATATTTCTGTGTTAACTTTATGTGTTTTATTTGAAAGTAATGTATTGTCTATTTGTGTGTTTTATTTGATCTCTTTATCTTTTTATCATATAACTTATAAAGCTAGGTGGTGTTTGTTATGCCACATCAAAATATTTTACAGTGGTTAAAGCAAAAACATTTGAATATGTCATTTCAAAACGTTTTTTCAGATCTTGAATAACCTGGTAATAGTTTAATATCAAATCATTTGGACTCTACCATATACATGCAAAGTAAAAAAGCAAATTAAAAACCCTTTTTAAAGACCATTAAGCAAAAGAATAGAATATCTATTATATATTGACAGAGGCATGTGTTACCATATAACACTGTTAAAACATTCTTGGTGCCATTTCTTGGTACAATTGCATACAACAACTTTAAATGGAGCCCTGATAGTCAAGACTATTGAGGAAAATATTTAGATCATTATTGATGATCATATTGAGCATTGTTTATCAAATAGCATCATATTGATCAATGCATGATGGATTGAGTGGTCATAAAACATTCACTGTGCTTAGTGTATTGCTCTTTTTTTTGTCTGTTAAACATTTATAATGAGGTATGTCATTAAACAAATATTACAAAAATAAGCTTGTATTTTATAAATTTTCCTAATTTATACATTTTTCTTATTTTATATTTTTAGTTATATTTATGTGTTATTTATTATGTGTTTATATGTGTTAAGGTTATTTGAGTTTATATTTTGTGTGTAAATATCTTTTATATATGAAGTGTTTATATGTTTGTGATGTGCTATGTTATGTGTTTATAGTTTGTAAGTGGTTATTATGTTGCTTGCATGGTTGCAAATTGTTGTGACTTGACTTAGCTTACAGCAAGAGTGTTGACCTTGCTAGCCAAGTGGTGTACTTTGCTATAATGTGACTTGGCTTTGTTGAGAGCAAGGATATTGTCCATGCAAGTAAAGTGATGTACTATCATACAGAAACACATAAATCTGATTGTAATTAGTGTATTCATAAATATGTTGAAAAAATATTACTGAAAAAATGTGTTTAAAAGAAATTTTTAAAATGATATATAATAAAATATTTAAAATGATATATAATAGTTTTTTAATACCTATAGTTTTTTTTAATATTTATAATTTTAAATAAACTTTGTTGAAAAGATATATACTCTGTTCCTTTTTAATTAACAATTTGTATTTATTTATTTGTTTTTTTTAATTATTCACCTTCCCAAGGCCGAGAAAGCCACTACAGCCAAGGAGGCTACTTTTTGTACTTTTATTAATTTAAAAAAAATTTAATTTTCTTAATTTAAAAAAAAATTTGTTTAAAGATATATACTCTATTTTTTTTTGTTAACAATTTATGCTTTTGACGATAAATAAATTTTGTTAAAAAACAAGCTTCCTTTTTACTAATAGCTACTCCCCATTTAAACATTTAAGAGTTTTGATTTCCTATACTAAATATGTTTAACTTAAATTTTTGTAATTAGTGTATTCACAAAATGTGTTGAAAAAATATTGTTGAAAAAATGTGTTTAAAAGAAATGTTGAAAAGATATATAGTTTATATAATATCTATAATTTTTATAATATTTATAACTTTAAGTAAATTTTATTGAAAAGATATATACTTCATTAAATATTTATATACCATTACTTTTTGAGTAAATTTTTTTTTAAAAAATATATACTCTGTTCTTATTTGTTAACAATTTATGCTTTTTATGATAAATAAATTTTGTTGAAAACAAAATTTATTTATCATAAAAATGGCTTCCTTTTTACTAATAGCTCCTCCCCATTTAAAAATTTAAGTTTCTATTTAAAGAATTATGAAAAAATTATCAGGCCTTATAATTTTTTCAATTTGCTTAATTTATGAGTTCTTAAGTGTAAAAAATTTTTAACTTTTTTTAATTACTTTTTATTGTTTTTTTGATGAAATACTAATAAAAATTTCTCAATAATTATTAATAATTACCTTCAATGTATAACATTTTTTATCTTTGAAATTAATGTTTTGAATGGATATATTGGCCATTTTTGCTTTATTTTTGCTTTATTTTGCTATATTTCGGTATTCTTTTCATAATTTATTTGCCTAACTCAGCAGTAAAAATGGATTAATTGAATGAACTTGTTAGGCGTTTTTTCTACAGAAAAGCTTGTATAAAAAAATCAAACAAATAAAGCAAACTTATTTGAAATAACTCTTTGGCCTGTTTTTCAATATTCAAATTTGCTTTTTAAATAAATCTTAATGAGATAACTGAAGTATTATTATCATAGCCTAAGTTTCCAAAAACATATGAAGAAATGTTACGCAACTGTCTTATATGTTAAAGATACTTTCATTATAGTAAATAAACATTAATGTAATAAGTATAAATACTTAATAAGTTCTAAAGTATAGTATATTAATTGCTAACCGAAAGGCAAGAACTTTAGGTAGTTGGTAAAATGCGAACCAAGACACTTTAATGACAACAACAGTTATGATATTTGAAAAACATAACTCATCAATTTTTTAAATTAAATATAATGGTATTTGATATATTTTATTTTAAATTAGACTATTTCTTTTAAAGTAATTATAATTTAACATCCAATATATATATGGTTTGCTAAAAAGTTTGCATTTTACCTAGTACCAGAACTTTAAATAGATTTTTTGTTGTTTACGAAAATAGATTAAAGTATAAATACTAAATTATGAACAAGCTAAGAAATAGCCGGGTGTGGAACAGACTTACCTTGACCCATATCGTAAGGGTCATGACAGCTAGTAATTATTATTATTGGTTATTTTAATAAATTTATTTTGATGCAAAAAAAATATGTTAGATTCTTAAGTCCTTATATACAGAGTTAACCTGACCTTTTATAATATTAAGTACTTGTAAAACACACCTTGAGTGCAAGTACTTGTAAAATGCACCTTTAATGTATTTTAAGTATACCTTTAGTATAGAATTACACAACTTTAACTTGTGAATATCTACAACGCATGTGTATATCTACAAGGCATGTATGTTTCAAAGAAAACCTTTTTTTTTTCTATATATAACTATTGTCAGAACTTGTGTATGAGAAGTAGCTTATGATGATTGGAGATAAAAAACAAAATAATGCTAGATTAAAAAGACTAAAAATAAGCAATATGTTAAAAAATAGAATAAAGTCATACATTAGAAAAAAAAATTTAAACATTAAGGTAAAAATGTCCTTTTTTTTGTATAGGACTAATTTAAATTTATCTTGAATTAAAAAACTCTAAAAAAAAATTAAAAAACAAAATTAATTTTTTTTTTTTGAAGTTTACAATGTTTTTAGCAAAATTACTTATTTAGTAACATTAATTACATGAATTATTATAATTACTAATTTAATTACATTACTTATTTTAAAAAACCATTTTTAAAAACTCGTATTAGGGGATAAAGATTTTTTTTTTTTTTGCAGGTGATCGGCAACAAAAAACAGGAAATGTGACTAAACCAAAATAAACCAAAATTTTGGGTATACGAGTTCAATACTTAAACCGAAACCAACATTTTGACAAAAAAAACTTATTTTATCAGAAAATGTTTCTAGAAAATGCAACTTTACATTTGTTGTTTATTTAGATTTGTTGTTGTTTTTTGTTTTGTTTTTTACATTTGTCGTGTATTTTTTTGATGAAGTCAATCCATAATAATAATAATAATAATAATAAATTTTTAGTCATTAATAAGTAAGAAAAATAAAAAACTAATAAAAAAATATATAAGAATAACTAATAGAAACTATTTAAACCAGATTTGTTTTCTTTGAACAAAAAGTTATTAGTGTAAGACTCAAAATTTTATGCGCACTGCAATGGTTTGATCATTTGCAGTTTTAAAAATTTCAAGAAGCAGATGGAAATCTGCTATTTACTTACTGAAAAGTTAAGTAATTTGAGAACAATGGGGTGAATAACTAAATTTAAAAATGGAAAAGTATTTTGTAAAATTTTGGGTATTTGGATTTTTTGATACCAAAACAGAATTTTGGTTGATTACTTCTATAAATACACCTAAATAAATGTTTTTTTGCATGTTTAACATAAAATATTTTATCAAATTAAATTAACATATTATAAACAAACATTTGGGTACCATATATTAGAATTATTTGTGTCTTTTATCAAACTTGGAAATTGAAATTTACATGCTTGATACAAGACATAAAGCATAATTTACAACAAGTACGTAATATATGCAAAACTATTGCAAACATAAACTAATTTTAAATGTATAAATATTTCATAAACATAAAAGTTAACCTTTTAATTTTCCATCGTTATCAGGAGTGTAACTATCCTGGACACCAGATATTATTAAATCTTCACATTTTATTGATAACTTTACTGAAGTTTCATTATTTTTAAACAAATTAGTGCTGTTTTCATAAATATCATGAAATGATAATAAAAATGAGATAATATTAACACCCAAAGGCACTTCATCTGGAGAGCTCTCGTGTAGGTTTAAAATCTCAGCATAACTTGCTAAAAATAGTTTGTTAATAAATAAAAATACTTCATTTATAAAGCAAGCATAAATTAAAGTTAGACTATACTGACATTCTAATTCAATAGATTAATTGATAGGAGTGATCAAAATTTAATTATAATAAACTGTAAAAAAATAGTATACCTTTCACATTAATTTCAATCGATTTACTCAACTCAGGATTTAACTTGTTATTGTTAAGAAGTACAGAGAAAGTCAGGACATACGTGCCAACTTTATCAAAATAAAATGGTTTAAACATATACTTTTTATCTATTGGTTGCGAATTTATTAACTCAGTTCTTTCAGTCAACTAAAAAAAAGTGTAATTAAAACAATTAATTTAGGTAAATCTTTTGTCTTAATAAATGTTCATACTCAGGCCTTCTTGTAAGATGCGTGCAATCACAAATGTGCGCACATTTCTTAAAAGACAGACAGAAAAGCAAACATCACGTTTCTTTAATTTTGCTTATGCAAATGTTGCTGTTTGAGTAAGATTTTTCAAAACGAATGTATTACTTCAGTAAATTTTTTCAAAACTTTTGCGATCATTAGTTTTTTATTTATTATAAAAAACACATATTTAATATGAAAAACAATTAATTTCACAGACTTAAATTAATGCCAAAACATAAGTACTTTTTTTAATATGCAAGCAAACATTATTTCACTTTATGGAAAATAAGAAAATCTTAAAAAAAGCATGCTAAATTTTCTTTTTTAATGAATACATTTGCTTTGAACTTTTAATGTAATTGCAAAAAACATAAATGAAACCATTGTTAAACGTTATGATTGCTTTTCTCAATAAAAGAAAGCAATTGAAATGTTTGAGCATGGTTTCTCTTGATGTTTTTGCAAAAGCATTCATTTTAAGTAAAATTATGTATACTTTTGTGAGCGCATGCAAAAATCATGCTAAAACATAATTA